GGGGCGGGGGTGTGGGGATCGGGGGCCGGGGGGGCGGCTACTCCACAGCCCCCTCCAGAGCCCTGGGCGCAGGCAGTGCAGCTTAGCGTTGCAGCAGCGGCCCTAGGAGCCGAGCGGGCGGGCGGTGGTGGCGGTGGTGGTGGCGGCAGTGGTGCTGTAGGGCGCGGGTGCCCCTCCCGTGGGCGGCAGGGCCGGGGGTGGCGGGTCCCCACCGGGCGGCTGGGCCATGGCACGGCTGGAGGGCCACAAGTTTGAGTACCTCATGAAGAGGCGCTTGGTGACCATTGGGCGCAACTGGTCGCAGGGCTTGGTGGACGTGAGCATGGGCCACTCGAACTTCATCTGGCAGTGCCACCTGGAGATTTTCATGCCCCGGGCGGCGGCCATGGCGCAGCTGCCCCAGAGCCTGCGCAGCCCGGCCGTGGGTTTTTTTTTCCAGTGGCTGGAGAGAGGGATGGAGAGGGGGGGGAGATACAGATAAAGGGTCTTGTCTACTTAGACTGAGAATAAAAGGAAGGAAAAAGGAGGAAAGGAAGGTTTAAAATAGAGAGCGTAGAGAAAAATACAAAACCAGACCCCCCCCTTATTAAGATAATTAGCACAATTATCAAGCACGCGCACCACATCTCACTGCATTCACTCGGACCCGGTCCTTCTTTCCTCAGATGCGCGCTGCACTCACCACTCTCACTTTCGGGATCCCCGAGACTCCTCGTGATTCTCCCAAAAGGTGTCCACTCGGACTGCCTCAAGGTAACGAGCTCGACCTCCTCTTCCTCTGGTGCCAGGTTTCTGCCGATCGGGCTTCCTCCCCAGGGCCGAGACACTCGGACCCTAGGTGCCGGGACTCGAACCCGGACTTCCCTACTTGGGACTCGAACCCGATACCAGACACGGGATGGCGATTCCCGCTTTATTCTGGATTTTACAGACACGAGGGAGCCACCCTCGATTTACACTGCCCTGTCCGGAGAAAAAGAAACTCTGCCCCCGTTCATCTTTTGATCCCCAGAAGCCCCCCACGAATCCTGGATGAGCCCCTAAAATGTTAGGGTCTGTGACTCAGTGGGTCTCTTCTGGAGAACAATTTCATGAATATGGAGATGCAAGAATCAAACAGAGTTTTATTAAACCAGCTAGCTGGGGTCGACTGTCCTTTCCCAAAACACGCAGGTCTGGTTAGAACAATCGACCCTGAGACAATTTTCCTGAGACAATTTTAAGTAAAGATTATATAGACTTCCACAACCGTTACACAAAAGCCCATGTTTATACAGCCAATAGTTTCAAAGCAAGCATTTCCCAAACCAATAACTTTAAAACAAGAAAAATGTTACAACTCCCTTCAGGTGTCTCAATTGGGGAGAGATGGTTGGTATGTGCCTGGTACGACTCTTTCTTGTTATCTTGTGTAAGCAGACATGACATGACACAGAACAGGTCAGGCTCTGGGGACTGTAGCACTTTGCCTCTATCTCCGGATGCCTGTGTCTCCAGTTGAGTTAATTGGTTACAAGCAGTAAATTTAAACAAGTAAGTTCAAGCAGTAAATTCAGGCAAGCAGTATATTCAAACAAACAGTAAATTCCTCTTTCCCCAACAGTTTGTTTGGAATGAGCCAAAATCTCAGCAAAAATGTGATGGTTAAAGGGCAGTTGAATGAATGTTGACCGCTTGAGGGGCAGGAAGAGCTCCTCTTAGGAGCAGTAAACACTGAAAATAAAAGCAGTCCTCTGCCCTCCCCCCCTGGAAGTTTGGGGTTTGTTCTTTTATTTTGCTAATAACTCAAGAGGTCTAAGACTGGATGTAGTCTTACCACCCCCCACAGGCTCAGCTCACCTTCAGCTACACCCCCCAGGAAATCTCTCATCCCTGTGAAGTAATCAGTACTAACACCCTTGAAGGTTCCTTCCACAGTTTCTTATAATAATACATTGGTGTGCAGAAGCCATGGTCTCCCTAGGAGGCTCATGCTGGGGCTCCACACCTCCCTCCCTCCTGGCTGTCAGGTTCCCTCCCTCCATCCTGTCTCCTCTGTCATCACCTGTTCCATGCAGCATATTCAAATGAGACCCATGTTCAAATGCCTCACAGTACTTTGTATTTTTAATTTCTATGTCTTAAATATATATATATTTAATTTTATGTGTATGAGTGTATTGCCTGCATATGTGTGAATGCACCTGTGTTGTGCATTGCCAGCAGAGGTCAGAAGAGGGCATCGGAGCACCTTGAGTTAATGGATGATTGTTAGCTGCCATGTGGGTGCTAGGAACCGAACCCAGTCCTCTGCACAGGCAGCCAGTGCTCTTAACTGCTGAGCTGTCTCTCCAGCCCCCAATTTCCATGTTTTTAGTATTAGTTTAAATAAGTAAAAATTACCTAAAAATTATCCTGGGACTGGGCATGTGACTCAGTTGGTAGAGTGCTTGCTTTAGCATCCATGAAGCCTCAGGTCCATCCCCAGCACATACCTGTTATCCCAGCACTTGGGAGGTGGAGGCAGGAGGTTCAGAAGTTCAAGATCATCTTTGACTACATCTTGGGTTCGAGGCCAGCCTGGATTGCATGAAACCTTTCCTCAAAAAACAAACAAACAAACAAAGTCACTTACCTGCCATAATGACCACTTATTTGCTTTGTGGAAATGCATGCCCACCCCTCCTTCATGACTTCAATCTCTCTTTCAGAACTTGACAGCCCAGAAGAGCTAGGGGCAAAGCGTATCTGCAGGATCATCACAAAGGACTTCCCCCAGTATTTTGCAGTGGTTTCTCGGATTAAGCAGGAAAGCAACCAGATTGGTCCTGAAGGTGGGATTCTCAGCAGCACGACTGTGCCCCTGGTCCAGGCGTCTTTCCCAGAGGGTGCCTTAACCAAAAGGATCCGAGTGGGTCTCCAGGTACTGACTGGAAAGCATCGCAACACTCCGTGTTCTGTTCTCTACACATGTAGAGCTCTCATGGTATCTCACTCCAGAAGCATTTCTGCAACCCTTAATGACACTGATAATCGGGCCATTTGGGGAATCATTAAAGTATCTCAAATTGAAAATATTAGGTGTAAAGTTAGCTTACTAACTGGTTAGATAGGGTTATATATTTTAGCAATTTTCGCTTTAAAGCTCTCAGCTGGGGCTGGGGAGATGGCTTGGTTGGTAAAGCGGAGACTTGAGTTCGATCCCCCAGCACCCGGGTAAAAAGCTAGGTGTGCCTGCCTGCACTTGTTAACCCAGCACTGGTGGCAGGCAGAGACAGGAGGATCCCTGGAGCTCACTGGCCAAATTGATGAGTGCCGTGTTCCTTCTGTGAAAGACCTTGTCTCAGAAAATAGGTGGAGAGCAATTGGCACAGACACCAGATATCCCCTCTGCCTTCTGCATGTATGTGAGCACTCACCCACACACACAGTCCCAGTTGGCTTCTTTTGAAAAAGTTTTTCTAACGAGAGGTTCTTGGTCTCCTATGTGGAGCTGTATACTGGAACTCGGTTTGTAACAATACATCATATGAATCCAGTTATAGTGAAACCTGCAAGTGTTAGTGTTTGAGTTTGGGTTCAGTACATCCTAAATGCTGGGCTTCATCCAAACCAGTTAGAACTTGTTTGGGTTTGGAAAGCTGACTGGAAATCTTGGCAAGAATGGTATTTTTTATATTTACTTCGGGTAGTTTAGTACTTAACAAATTCTTTTTATTGTCCTTATTGAATAAAGAAAACTGAAAAAGATGATAAAATTGTTGTTAAAATACTAATTAATTTAACTGAAAGTTAACTTTTCTTTCGGAGGCTTCCCTCTCATGTCCAAGGGAGTTGGGGTTTTTTGTAACCCTGCTCTGCTCGCCTTGGGAAGGCTGTTGGTACACTTGGAGTTGCATGCCTCCGTATAATACCAGGGATGTTCCCTGCAATCAGAGAATCACTTTCCCCAGTAGCAAAGACACCAAATGATGTAAGTTAGACTCACTGGGCTAGAATTTGTATCCTCTCCGTTTTAAATGCCCACTTGTTCCTTACCTCTGAAAGCCTCCGTTTTTATCCGGGTTCAAGCTGATTGTGTGAGGTTGTGTGGAATGTTCTGCATAGGGCCAACACAAACTGAGATAATATTTGCTTTTCTTGACTTGGGAATATACTAAACAGTGTCTCTGCTCTGAGGTTTGGCTCCATGTCCCTGGAGCAAGCCGGTATAATCTGTGTCCCAGGCTCCACCCCCAGGAAACAGCCCAGCCAGCTCCTGCCCCTGTTCATCTTGTTTTTCCACCTTCCTGAAACAGTGAGACAGGAAGAAGAAACACATGGATTTTTGTTGTCAGATTTTTTTTTTTCCAGCTTTTGCTTCTGATTAAAAGAATTTTTTTAAAGTTCACTTGTATTTAAGGTCCTTTTCCTGTTTGTAGGCCCAGCCTGTTCCAGATGAAATTGTGAAAAAGATCCTTGGAAACAAAGCAACATTTAGCCCAATTGTCACTGTGGAACCAAGGAGGAGGAAATTCCATAAACCCATCACCATGACCATTCCGGTGCCCCCGCCCTCAGGAGAAGGCGTAGCCAATGGGTACAAGGGGGACACCACGCCCAACCTGCGCCTGCTCTGCAGCATCACAGGTGTGCATCAGCCCCCACCCCCATTCCCCCACCTCCATCCCTTCGTGCCCCCATCCCACCTCCTCACATTTGCCTGAACAGACACAGAAGCTCGAAGACCTGTGGCCAGAAAAGAACATAAGGAATAAGCCATTTATTCTTATCCATCCCCCCATCTCTTATCCCTGGAATAATTTCCATAAAAAAAACAGGGCTGTCTCCTGCTATTAGGGTTAGGGTTAGTCACAGAACCCTTTTAGGACTGTGGAGATGTTATTCAATCAATTCGAGCACATAGGTCATTTCTTGGCAACCCAGACAGAGGTGGTAAATCTAGCTGTACCCTTTGGATGACAAGGCTTTGGGGAAACTATTGCTCCTCCAGGACTTGACTGCCACCCAGGAAGCAAAATATACAGGAAGGAGAATATGTTTTGTTTTAAGCACCTAGAATCCAGACCTCAGGCTGGAAAGATGGCTCAGCAGATAAAGGTGCTTGTCACCAAGGCTGACGACCTAAGTTTAACCCTTGGAACCCACATGGTAGGAGAGAACAGACTCAAGTTGTCCTCTTACCTCCACACATACTCTATGATGCACATGCATGTACACTGTATACACACACACACACACACAAATTTTTCTTTCTAATTTGCAATCCAAACCTTAATTCATCCCTTAATTATCCTAATCAGATTCTGTACTGCAGGATCAAGGTGATTAAAGCACAGTTTAATGTTTTAAGGTCCAATTCTTCTCTAGAAGAGTAATATTTGAGCCAGGATCAGAAGGAGCTGCTTCTTAACTTTCCTGATCATTCTCAAATCTTTCCCTCCTCTGTTTTAAAAAGTTATCTGAGAAGCCAGAGAGACAGCTCAGTTGGTAAAGTGCCTCTTTTGGAAGCAAGAAGGCCTGAGTTTGGATCCGTAGCATCTGTGTCTCTGTAGCTCCGGCACTGCAGGCGGGGGACAGAGACAGGCAGATCTCTGAAGCTCATTGGCCGGCCGGCCTAGCTCAGTCAGTGAGCTCCAGGTTCACTGAGAGACCCTGTCTCAAAAAATAATCAAGGAAGACAGCAGACCTTGACCTCTGGCCTACAGATACACATAAGCATCCATGTACCCACGTGAACACACACAAACTTACCTGAAGCTAGCCACTCATTACAGTTTCAAATGGCACTGATGATATACCTAAAAATTTCCCCCAAGTTTAAACCAGTCACTGTGACCCGGACACAAACTACTTCGTTTGCAAAAGTCACAGAGCTCACCTAAGCAGGTGAACATCCAGGAAAGTAGAGGGGATGTCTCCTCGAAGACACAGCAGATCTGAAAAGTGCTGGGCCTGGCCACTTGGCGGCTCTGCAGGAAAAGCAGGGGTGGTAGGGAGTGGGTGTGCCCCCTGGCAAAGTTGCCCCATTGCTGCTGTTTCCAGGGGGCACCTCGCCTGCACAGTGGGAAGACATCACAGGAACCACTCCGCTGACCTTCATAAAGGACTGCGTCTCTTTCACCACCAACGTCTCAGCCAGGTATGGAAATAAAGATGAGTGTTTATGTTTAGTAAAGTGTCTTCATTGTCGCTGCTTAATGAGAAAGTTCAATTTGAGTTCTAGCAGACTGGTTTTTATTTTCATTTTGTTTTATGATTGAGTTTTTGATGCTGGGGATCAAAGTCAGACCCATAAACATGCCGAACACTTGCCCTCCTGAGAAGTTACATCCCCAGCCCCTGGTTTTCCTCACTGGGAATTTTTGGCTTTATTTCTCTTTTGTGTGTTGTTGCTGTTTATTAGGTATAGCTTTCAAATCGCCTCATTTAGCCACATGGTGTTTCGTTTCCTTCAGATTCTGGCTTGCAGACTGTCACCAGGTTTTAGAAACAGTAGGGTTAGCCTCACAACTGTACAGAGAGTTGATATGTGTTCCGTACATGGCCAAGTTCGTTGTTTTTGCCAAAACGAATGATCCGGTGGAGTCGTCCCTGCGGTGCTTCTGCATGACAGACGACAGGGTGGACAAGACCCTCGAGCAGCAGGAGAATTTCGAGGAAGTTGCCAGAAGCAAAGATATTGAGGTACCTGGGCCCCAAGAACGAGCTTCTCTGACACCCCGACGCTGGATTGTACTGGGGGCCACCATGGGGCACACTGCACACACAAATGTCAAGTACATCGTACAGGCCACAATTTATTTTAAAACGTTCACATGGGCTCCTTCTCAGATTATCTAAGTATCTCTGGGTTCATCTCTGTTGGTTACAATGTGCTACTGATGAACCCCAGTTGCTCTCCATTTCCCTAGGGCAGTCCAATTTTTTCTTCATGATCACTGTCCACGTGCATTACTGTGATTTTTCTTTTTCACACCCAGTGATCATGTGAGTACCCTTCAGTTGAAAAAAATTCTCAACCTGCATGAGGAAGTAATGTCAGGCACCTTCTCAAACATGCTTAAAACGTCTCAGGAGTAGCATAATTCTGTTTTACGCAAGCCTATAATAATGGTTTCTAATCACAGCTGTTGAATTGTAAGCACACAGAATTGTTTTTATGTCAACACCATAAAAGTGACATTCTCATAATGAGATAAATGTGACATATAAATATATCAGTCTTTGAATGTTATTTGACAGAAAAAAATCTCAAAATTCTTCTGAGTCAACTTAACATTAAATAACGGATTTCTTTTACTCTATAAGGTCCTCGAAGGAAAGCCTATTTATGTTGATTGTTATGGAAACCTCGCCCCACTTACCAAAGGAGGACAGCAACTTGTTTTTAACTTTTATGCTTTCAAAGAAAATAGACTGCCATTTTCCATCAAGGTAAATCATCTTTAACACAGACTCTATGGATTTAGAAAAAGGGGAAAAGTTCTTAGAGAAAAATAAAATTATTTAGTTTGAATTATCCCACCAAACCTGAACTCATACAAACAAGGTCAGATTTTGTCCTTGACTTCTTCAAGCTAGTTAAACTTTATAATAGGTGAAAATAACCTATGTATTTTAAAAATAAATATTAAATGTTTGTAAAATGAAACAACCTATAGTAAATGGACCACATCTAGCTACCTTTGATTTCCATTTCTGAGGGAGTTCAGCAAGAAGACCAAGCAGTGACTGTTAACTGGCCTTATTTACTGTTTCAGAAAGTGAAGTTTTGAGAAAATGAAATTAGCGAGAGAAAGAAAATGCATTTGGTAGAAACACTTGTTAGACCAGCCAAGGAGATAGCCATTTGCTGTTAAAGCTGGGAGCTGAGCCTCTGCATCTTACCAGGCTCATCCTGGTTCTCTGGGAACTTTATCCCCTCCTTCCCACCTGTATAAACACTTCATAAAACCACCATAATTCAGCCTTACACAGATTGGAATCTGTTGTTCTGTAACCACACACTACCCCAATTCTCCCAGGTTAGAGACAGCAGCCAGGAGCCCTGTGGTCGTCTGTCTTTTCTGAAAGAACCGAAGACAACGAAAGGACTGCCTCAAGCAGCCGTTTGCAACTTAAATATCACTCTGCCGGCACACAAAAAGGTATCTTTTAAGACTGGTTTGTTTTCCCTTTCTTTCCCTGGTCTTGAGAAGTAGGCCCCAGGTATGTAACTAAGGAATGCGTTGTGACACTGTGAAAGCTCTCTGTGTGTAGATGAAGGCTTGTTGCGTGGTGTCCTGTCCTTAAGTCCGTACGACGGCGTCCTCTGGTGATTGCTATTGCTGGTAGTTCATAGCTCCCGAGGCTTTCCGACACTCACCACACGTTGACTTGCCGTGGGTGTGCATCTGCCTGTACCGTTTCGTTGGCTTCTTTTGACTTGCTTTGCCTTCTAAACCAGCTTGCGTTGTACGCCTCCTACCGAGTCCTTTCCATATCCTGACACTCTTTTCCCTGATGTCCATTATAACATTCCTTGTCTCTGCAACGCATCTTGGGACCCAAAGGAGACAGAGTCAGATCAAGATGACGAGGTAATATGAACACCTTTGCTTTCATTCTCTCCCAAGGTAGATTAGAGACTGGATGTGTATGAAAGAACGTGCATAGGGCTGAAGCGAGAAACATAGACATTAGATTTCTGTACATCTTAGCCTATGTGAGGTAAAGAGAGTTTCTTAAAAAAATGGTTCACGCTTCCTCTGCAGATGCATAGGTGTACTTTAGTATAACCTGCCCAACTCTAATCTAGCTACTGATTTTAAAAGAGAAACTGGTCATTTAAACATTTTAAATGTGAGATCGGCATGCATAAATTTATATTCTCACATGTATATTTTGCTGTCTACTACAGTCCAGTACCTGCTGTATCATAACTTCTAAGACCTTGATTCATACAGAGTTCTAGTGTTCAAGCCAACATGTTTTATGTAATATATAAATAGGATTATAAAAATTTGATAGACACTTGGTGGTCCAGCTGAAGAAATTTGAGCGTTTTTAAAGAGTGCAGTTGTTCAGTTCTCTAAGACTTTCTCTAAGCTGTGTGATCACTGGATTTTTAAAAACCCACAGCCTTAGTTACATGACTGCTCATAAGGCCAGTCACCTGTTTTTAATCCCCCCATCTATCTCATGTGCCTGTGAACAGTAACCACAGTGGTAGCTTCGTAAGACTTCCAGTGCTGTGTAGTCACAGAGCGAGCATACCGTGTGATCCATGTGCTTTCGATATTAACTGATGGGGAAAAGTTACGGCTCAGCCTCCCGGGTCCCCGTAGTGCTGTCTCTATTCGTAGTCCCCTGTAGTCTGCTGTGTTGGTGCTCTTTGCTAAATCATGCCATGTATTGAGGCTTTGGGGTGGGGTCCATAGACTCTCAGGAGGGAATTAACATTTTTAAGAGGAGAGTACGTAGGAAAGATCAGGATGGACAAGATGTCAGCACACCATCCTACGAAATGTTTCAGAGCGGTGATGCTGCCACGGGGAAGGCGGAAACCATCTCTTTTTCTTTTTCAGGCTGAGAAGGCGGATCGAAGACAGAGCTTTGCATCTTTAGCCTTACGTAAGCGCTACAGCTACCTGACTGAGCCTGGCACAAGTGAGTTTCCTAACATGTTTACTAATCTATGTCAGTTTTTGTAAGAAGAGACATTTTTTCTATATGCACCAAATTTTGCTGTCATTTGGAAAACAAATAACAAAAACAATTGCCTATAGAGAAACCCCATTATGAAATTTAATACTGAACACATAATTGAAGACACAAGGTACAAACATCCCAAGTTGTAGCTGCAAATGGTTTTCTGCTTGAAGCTAGTCGCTCATTTTTATTTATTTATTTATAAGCTATTATTTTTTTTTTAAAGCTTTGATTTTATTTTGATGAGTATTAGCATGCTAAGAGGTAAATACCTATATTGCTTTAAATTTGTGCTCAGAAGAGAAGGTGTTTCCTCCTGAATATTCAGAGTGGCGTGGAGGCTAGGTTGCCCTGTCAGCTCGGCTTTTTTTGAGAGTTAGGCTGTTGTACACTGCACCCAACTCTTTCCCTTATCACTTTGTAAGACTTGTATCTTCTCCCCTTCAGGAGGTAGCACACGCTTGCTTATTCCTTCCGTCCCCTACCCCCACCTCCCTCCCTTGTCCTCTATTGAACCTCAGCTCTGAGGCCTGACTGGGGCTGGACTGGGAAGCCCGTTTATCTGAGTCAGTTTTGGTTTAGTGGTAAGTGGCTTGCAAGGCAGGCGTAGGTTTATCTGGGCAGACTCAGTCCTTCTCTCTCTGCCTCTGCTCTTTTCTTTCCTCGTAGCTATACTGTTCACATCCCATGGTCACCATAACCCTGGAGATGATCCCAGCCCAAAAGGGAACTGAGGATCCAGAAAGCAGGGCTGTGTTTGATTAGTACAGCAGAGGTGTACTCTGAAGGGGGCTTATCCAGAAAGACTGTGTCATCCGTTCCTAGCTCTTTCCCACTGATTGATACTTGAGTTCACAGAGGCTTGGAGATGTTCTAGTAAGCATCATGAGCTTAGTTTCCCCTTCTTTCCAGAACTTTCTGTAGACTAGCACATAAAATGCCTAACAAGAATTTGCCCACTACTTAGGCCAGTCTGCCTGATCCAGCTCTGTTAGGAAAACTTTCGTGTTCAGATTCAAAATGTGGATTACAAGAGAAACATAACCTGCAAACTTACCGCTCTCCAACACTCCCTCAGACCTGAGAGCTCTCTAGCAGACATGTCTAAATCCTTCTAGAAAACATGGGTCTGAAACTAATACCTGTTGTGTTTGTGTTGTAGAAGAGCAAAGTGGGTACACAGCTAAATGGTTTTTTGATAGTTAATTGGGCGTAACTTTGGAATGTTATTTTGCCCCTGAGACCCATGCTGGATAGCTTGGGACTCCTCAGGAAGCATCTGTAGGCTTTAGACAGGCTTATTGGAGCAACTACTATTTAGGTCAGAGACACTACAGGACGGGCAGATTTCCCTGGCTCTGTCCCTAAGGGCTTAGTTGTTTCGAGTACCTGAAATGTGAGCCCTGGTGTGTGCCAAGTGAATTTTCTCCACACACAAAAGCGTTGGTCTTTTGGTTGGCATTATCAGATGGATGTGTTCGGCTTGCCTTTCTTGACTTTTAGTAGGAGGAGGTATTTTTGTCTGTTTTATGACAGGGCATATAGGGGTGGCCAACAGAGGAAGAGAAAAGGATCAAAAGAAAACCAAGGGATTGTCACAGCCTCTGAAAGGTGTTAGGGCTCTAAGTGAATACCACTTTCCCTTACTCTGCCCCTTCCCCACTGCCCAGGGTGCAAAAAGATTTTGGTATAGTTAATCACCAACATCCAGAATGGCCCTTATTTCAAAGGGTGTCACAAAACGCCTCTCACCAAAGTCTCAGATGTGTAATCAAGTGCTAACTTGGAGGTCCCTTGAAAAGTGTGAAACCACAGGCAACCTTCAGAAGACTTCCTTTGGGGGCTGGTGAGATGGCTCAGCAGTTGAGAGTGCACACTGCTCTGCAGAGGTCCAGAGATTGACGCTCAGCCTCCACATCAGGTGGTTCACAATCGCCTGTAACTCCATCTCCAAGCGATCCGACACCCTCTTCTGGCCTCTAGGCACCTGCACACGCGTGCACATACCTATACACATACACATAATTAAAAATTAAATCTTTTTTTTAAAAAAAGAAAAAGATTTCTTTTCCTAGTGGAGCTGGGCTTCAGCAGGAAAGGAGAGATCTTTTGCCAGTTTCTGGTAGTGACAGGAAAGAACTCGTAAAACATGGGCTGAGCCCAAATCACGGAATCAAGGAATCCCCAAGCCATGCAAATGCCATGTGGCCTTTCCCGCATGTTAAGCAGTAGGGTGTTGAGAATGAAGGCCAGAAGGGGTCATAACCTTGCGAGGATGCCTCAGGTGTTCCCCTTTTTTATCTGTAGGATAACAGTAAGTTGAGCAAAGGACATGTTCTGAATATTTGACTTTAAATGTACACTAGGAATGAACGTCTTCACCCTTGTGGGAGTAGCTGCTAGTCCAAGGACTGGATTGTAGCAGTGGTCCGGGCACAGCGTGAGGAGGAGCGTAAAAGATGAAGCAGGTTCTCTGTCCTCCTTGCATCTCACTGTGACTCTGAGCCGCTGGTTTCTTGGAGCAAGACTGTACCCATCACTGGCCTGGAGCACTTGACCTTAGCAGGCACTCCAGACCTCTGTGCCAGCTTGGTTTGTTTGTTAGAGTTGTAGAGGTAGAGAGGACTGGGTGTGTGTGTGTGTGTGTGTGTGTGTGTGTGTGTGTGCTGTCCCCAGCATATGCTCACCGCCAATGTGGACTTCTTGCCCCACGGTGAGAAGACTGTTGTATTATTAGACCCATCTTTCCTGGTGGTAGGTCTCCCTCATAACTTGTGCAGCGTTTGGGGGAAGCCATGCGTGTCCCAGAATTGGTACCTTTGCAATTGATAAACATCTGTATTTGTACCATGTCCCACTAAGATTATTTAACATATGGGGTCTTCAAAATATGTTTGTGCCTTTTGGATTCTCCCATGATACCTTTTGAGAATTAAAAGTAGAATAGATTATGACAAATATGTGAAATAAGCTCTGTTTTTCTTCCTATAACGAAGACAGCTCTAGATATGGGTTTCTCTGTTGCATATGTATTTTATAATGTGTTAAGTAGTTTCCTAAAATCTCAAAAGGTACCATTACTTCACAACTCATGGAAAAAGTGTGCTCTTCTTTCCAAATGTTCTTGAAAAAGTATTTTTAACAGTTATGCATACTGTGCATCATTCTGCGTACAAACTGTGTTCATTGCCTCACTGGCTCGTTTGCCGTGAAAAATTGTGCATGATCATGTTTTGAGTTGCTTTGCTTGCTTACGGTAACCATGAACCATATTTTCTGTTATTTTTTCCCCTTTGTGTGTGTGTGTATGTGTGTACACATGCATTTTGAAAATCATTTCATACTGTATCCCCCCACCCCATCACAAGAAATATCCTGCATGGACAAAAACAGAGAAGCGCAAACATTCCTTTTCTTTCTTTTCAGTTTTTGGTTTAAAATTCTGACTCAGACGATTTCTTGCTCTTATTGGCTTTTCATGGGTGTGAAACATAACTGAATTGTGCATGGAAGAAACAGATTTAAAATCCAGTGGCTTCACGGTCTGCACACCAGTTGCCTGTCTCTTACTAGTTATTTTGACCTCTGCATGATATAGGCTTGAGTGGTTTTTCTGGAAAAAAAAGTTTCAAATATTTAATGTACGCATTCACATATCGAAATGGTTCTGACTAGGTGCAGTCTGCTGTGGAAAAGGTCTAGGAGAGGGAGCAGTAGAGGTTATTAAAATGCATTCTGTGGTTGCACAAAACAAACAGACGGGTACAGGCAAACAGAACGGCTTCTGGTATTTCGAACCCAGCACACAAGAAAGTCAATAGGAAGTAAGGGACCAGTTTTCCATCGTGGTTATTTTCTCCGTCACCCTCTCCTTCTGTTTCCTCTTCTCCATTGTTGACCTCTTTGGTTGCGACCTGCTCTGCCCGTTTCATTTCATATTTGCTCTGTGTGTTTGTTCTTTGATTTGCTTCCTTGTTTTTCTTTACCTTCGGGTCTGCAGATGTTTCTTTTTTTGCTTAATTGTTCCTCTCTTTGCCGCCTCCATCCTAAATCATGCGAACATTGTACTTGCTTTTGTAATATTTCCAAGTTTACTGACCAATTTTTTTCTCTGGTCTCTCTGTTTCTCAACCATTTTTGTTGATTTTTGTGTTTGATTTCATTTTAAAATTTAAGAAACAGTTGAACGGAGTTCAGGAGCAACAAGATCCCTTCCCATCTCTTACTCGTACAAACCACTCTTTTCTACGAGACCATACCAGCCCTGGACAACAGCTCCGATGACAGTGCCTGGGCCGGCCAAGTCTGGCTTCACCTCCCTATCCAGCTCTTCCTCTAATACACCATCAGCTTCTCCATTAAAATCGATCTGGTCTGTTTCGACTCCTTCTCCAATCAAATCCACCTTAGGCGCTTCGACCCCCTCTTCAGTTAAATCCATTAGTGACGTGGCTTCTCCGATTAGATCTTTTCGGACAATTTCTTCACCGATAAAAACAGTGGTGTCACCATCTCCATACAATATCCAAGTTGCCTCTGGTCCCCTGGGGAGAGGTCCCCCAGTCACAGAGGCCACTCCCTTAAAAGGGCTGGCACCCAACTCAACATTTTCCTCTCGAACTTCTCCAGTGACCACAGCAGGGTCTCTTTTGGAGAGGTCATCCATTACTATGACACCCCCTGCTTCCCCCAAATCAAACATTAATATGTATTCCTCAAGTTTGCCATTTAAGTCAATTATCACATCAACAGCAACGCTGATCTCTTCACCTTTAAAGTCAGTGGTGTCTCCAGCAAAGTCCACAGCCGATGTCATCTTGTCAGCTAACGTTACGATGGCATCGGCTCTCTCGTCCCCCTTGAAACAGATGCCCGGACACTCAGAGGTAGCGCTAGTCAATGGGCCCATTTCCCCTTCCAAGTACCCTTTGTCTTCAACTTTCATTAACGGGTGCAAAGCCGCTACCACGTTACAGGACAAAATTTCCACAGCCACCAACGCTGTGAGCTCGGTGGTGAGTGTGGCCACTGACACGGCAGAGAAAACATTTTCTGCCACGACAGCCGTGCCCTTTTCCCCTCTCAGGTCGTATGCATCTGCAACGCCCTCAGCCTTTCAGGCTCTAAGAACTTCTGCACGTGCAGCCTACACCTCCCTTGGGTCTTCAATCTCTGCAACTACCTCATCTGTAACCTCATCCATAATCACAGTGCCAGTATACTCTGTAGTCAATGTTTTGCCAGAACCAGCCCTGAAGAAGCTTCCAGACTCTAATTCACTCACGAAGTCCGCAGCAGCTTTGCTGTCGCCCATGAAAACATTGACTATGGAGACCCGTCCTCAGCCCCACTTCAATCGAACTTCCTCTCCAGTTAAGTCATCTTTGTTCCTCGCACCCTCAGCCCTCAAGCTGTCTGCACCATCTTCTTTATCTTCCAGTCAGGAGATCTTAAAGGATGTGGCTGAAATGAAGGAGGACCTTATGCGCATGACCGCCATCCTGCAGACGGAGGTGCCCGAGGAAAAGCCATTCCAACCTGACCTCCCCAAAGAAGGGAGAATCGATGATGAAGAACCTTTCAAAATTGTTGAGAAAGTGAAGGAAGACTTGGTAAAAGTCAGTGAGATCCTCCAAAAGGATGTGTGTGTCGGTAACAGAGGCCCACCCAAATCCCCAAAGAGTGACAAAGGACAGTCTCCAGAGGACGACTGGATAGAGTTCAGTTCTGAAGAAATAAGAGAAGCCAGGCAGGCCGCTGCCAGCCATACCCCGGCCCTGCCCGAGAGATCGCAGGGCAAGGTCAAGGCTGCCTCCGAGAAGGAGTACAACCTGTCCAAAGTCATCGACTACCTGACCAACGACATTGGGAGCAGTTCGTTGACCAACTTAAAGTACAAGTTCGAGGATGCGAAGAAGGATGGAGAGGAGAGACAGAAGAGGGTTTTAAAGCCAGCCATGGCCTTGCAGGATCACAAGCTCAAAATGCCGCCAGCCTCCATGAGGCCCTCGACCTCAGAGAAGGAATTGTGCAAGATGGCTGACTCTTTTTCTGGAACAGATACTATTTTAGAGTCTCCCGATGACTTTTCTCAACATGACCAAGATAAAAGTCCCTTGTCTGATAGTGGCTTTGAAACCAGAAGCGAGAAAACGCCTTCGGCCCCACAAAGTGCTGAGAGCACTGGTCCCAAGCCGCTTTTTCACGAAGCCCCCATCCCTCCCGTTATCACAGAAACGAGAACTGAAGTGGTTCACGTGATCAGAAGCTACGAGCCCTCCACTGGGGACGTGCCTCAGTCCCAGCCGGAGGAGCCCGTGTCCCCCAAGCCTTCACCTACATTTATGGAGTTGGAGCCGAAGCCCACCACCTCTAGCATTAAGGAAAAAGTGAAAGCATTTCAAATGAAAGCCAGTACTGAGGAGGAGGACCACAGTCGGATCTTGAGCAAAGGCATGCGTGTAAAAGAAGAAACTCACATCACTACGACCACCAGGATGGTGTATCATTCCCCACCAGGCAGCGAGGGTGCCTCCGAAAGGATTGAAGAGACCATGTCGGTCCACGACATCATGAAGGCCTTCCAGTCTGGACGAGACCCTTCCAAAGAGCTGGCGGGGCTGTTTGAACACAAGTCGGCCATGCCTCCTGACGTTGCCAAGCCTGCGGCTGAGACCTCAGCCCAGCACGCAGAGAAGGACAACCAAACGAAACCCAAACTGCAGCGTATAATAGAAGTCCACATAGAAAAAGGTAACCAAGCTGAACCCACTGAAGTCATTATTAGAGAGACCAAAAAGCATCCCGAGAAGGAAATGTATGTGTATCAGAGAGACGTATCCCGGGGAGATGTTAACCTAAAAGATTTTCTGCCAGAGAAACACGACGCTTTGCGTTGCCCAGAGGAGCAGGGTCAGCAAGAAGAAGAGGAGGAGTCCTTGCCTTCTTACCTGGAGTCTTCCAGAGTAAACACTCCAGTGTCCCAAGAAGAAGATAGCCGGCCCAGTTCCGCACAACTCCTGTCTGATGACTCTTATAAAACGCTGAAACTTCTGAGTCAGCACTCCATAGATTACCATGACGATGACTTGTCAGAGCTAAGAGGGGAGTCTTACAGGTTTGCTGAGAAAATGCTTCTGTCAGAAAAGCTAGATGTGTCTCACTCTGATACTGAGGAATCGGTGACAGACCATGCAGGACCCCCTAGCTCAGAGTTACAGGGGTCTGATAAGTGGTCCAGAGAAAAAGTAGCCACTGCCCCCCACAAAGAAATTCTCTCCAAAATCTATAAAGATGTATCTGAAAATGGTATAGGTAAAATGTCTAAGGATGAGCGTTTTGACAAAGTCACAGTGTCGCACTATTCGGGCAGTGTTAGCAGTCCCAAACATGCCATGTGGATGCACTTGACTGAGGACAGACTAGACAGAGGTAGAGAGAAGTTGATATATGAAGATAGGGTGGACAGGACTGTGAAGGAGGCCGAAGAAAAACTGACTGAAGTGTCCCAGTTTTTTCGTGACAAAACGGAGAAGCTGAACGATGAGTTGCAGTCCCCAGAGAAAAAGCCACGCCCCAAAAACGGCAAAGAGTACTCTTCCCCGAGCTCCGCCAGTAGCAGTCCTGAGAAGGTGTTAACCGAACTGTTGGCATCAAATGACGAATGGGTTAAGTCCAGGCAGCGTGGCCCAGATGGACAAGGCGTCCCTCAGGCCGAGGACAGGAAGGCACGTAGTCGGCCCGGCAGCCCGGAGACCAGGGTCCCTTCCCAACAGAGTGAGGATGGCCAGCCCACAGAGGAAGCCAAAGGAACTGTCAGTGCTCAGAGCAAGGGACCAGAGGGGCCCCAGTCTGGATTTCAGCTCCAACAATCTAAACTCAGTTCCATTAGATTAAAATTTGAACAAGGCACACATGCCAAGAGTAAGGGTCCATCTCAAGAAGAGAAAAAGGCGGACGGCCCATCCAGAATCCCAGTTAAAAAAACACAGGAAAACAAGCTGCCCATACATCAAAGTGTCACTAGAGAGAAACAGCTGAAGGCTGTAGACCTCCCAGAGGAAGGTGTGTCGGAGCGAAACGATGTGGTGGCGTTAAAAGCTAAAGATGAGCATGCTCAAAGCCATGAGGTGGCTGTAAGTGAGTCTGGCTCTGACGAGGCAAAAAGACCCAGAACTGAAGTGTCAAGTAAGGCCATACCTGACTATTTTCATGAGCAACAGGCTAAAGACTCAGCCTGTCCCATAACATCAGATTTAGTGTCCAAGGGACTATGGGACAAAAAGGTCTTTAGAACATGGGAAAGTTCTGGGGCCACTAACCATAAGTCTCAGAAAGAGAAACTTTCACACGTACTTGTTCACGATGTAAGAGAGAATCACGTTGGTCACCCTGACAGGAGTGTTGACCCAAAGAATGAATTTATGTGTGTGACTGAGAGAGAGCACAAATTGCTAACCAATGGCTCTCTCTCAGAGATTAAAGAAATGACTGTAAAATCTCCCTCCAAGAAAGTCTTATACAGGGAGTACGTTGTTAAAGATGGGGAGCGTCCGGGCAGCACTCTGGACCAGCCTCCCAGGAGAATGGAGAGCTCAGAGACGTCTCACATCCCCGTCAGGGTCGCTGACGAGAGGAGGATGCTGTCTTCTAATATTCCTGATGGGTTTTGTGAGCGGTCGACATTTCCAAAACATGAACTATCACAAAAAGTGTCCCAGTCAAGTATAAGTAAAGAGACAGTTGAGACCCAGCATTTTAATTCCATAGATGATGAAAAGGTTACCTATTCAGAAATCAGCAGAGTTTCCAGACATCAGAGTTATGTAGGCTTATGCCCAGCTCTCGATGAAACGGAGACCTCCCCCACCAAATCTCCCGATTCTTTAGAGTTTAGTCCAGGAAAGGACTCTCCCTCTAGTGATGTATTCGACCACAGTGGGTTGGAGAAGCTCGCACCCATAGCCCAGATGGAGGGAGGGAAAGAGATCAAAACCTTACCTGTTTATGTCAGCTTTGTACACATGGGAAAACAGTATGAGAAGGAAGTAAAGCAAGGAAGTGTGAAAAAAACCGTAAGTCAGGAATGTAAGACAGTGCAAGAAACCAGGGGGACCATCTATACAGCCAGACAGCAGAAGCAGCCCCCTTCTCCCCAGGGCAGTCCGGAGGACGATACCCTAGAACAAGTGTCCTTTCTAGATAGCTCTGGGAAGAGCCCTTTGACCCCAGAAACTCCCAGTTCTGAGGAAGTAAGCTACGAGTTTACGTCTAAGACACCAGACTCTCTCATAGCTTACATACCAGGCAAACCCAGCCCGATTCCAGAGGTTTCTGAGGAATCGGAGGAGGAGGAGCAAGCCATCTCAACCTCCGTAAAGCAGGTGACCTTGGAGCAAGCCGCTGACCGGGGAACGGATAATGATGTGAGCAGAGACTCTGTCCAAAGACCCAAAAGTAACCGAGTTGCCTATATAGAGTTCCCCCCTCCTCCCCCCCTGGATGCCGACCAACTGGAATCAGATAAGAAGCATCAGTACCTCCCCGAGAGGGAGGTTGACATGATTGAGGTCAGCCTCCAGGATGAGTCTGACAAGTACCAGCTGGCCGAGCCTGTCATCCGAGTCCAGCCTCCATCACCCGTCCCTCCCGGTGCAGAGGCCAGTGACTCCAGTGATGAGGAATCTATGTACCACCCGGTCCCGGTTAAAAAGTACACTTTCAAATTAAAGGAAGTCGACGAAGGACAGAAGGATGTAGCCAAATCCAACACTGCTGCCACGAAGCCTCCACACCAGAAAGAAGCAGACGGTAGCGGGAAGGAGAGCGAATGTGGCCTTGGCCTTGACTCACCTCAGAACGAAACGGCCCAGAACGGGAACAATGACCAGTCCATCACCGAGTGCTCCATTGCCACCACGGCCGAGTTTTCTCATGACACAGACGCCACTGAGATCGACTCTCTGGACGGCTATGACCTGCAAGATGAAGATGACGGCCTGACCGAGAGCGACTCCAAGCTCCCGAGTCAAACCGTGGACACGAAGAAGGACGTGTGGACCGAGGGCATCGTGAAGCCGGCAGATCGTCCTTTCAGCCAGACAAAACTAGAAGTGATCGAGGAGGAGGGAAAGGTGGGCCTGGATGAAGATAAGCCATCCTCTAAAAGTTCTTCATCTGAGAGAGCCCTAGAGAAGGTGGACCCCAAGTCAGGGGCCCAGTTTTTCACCCTGGAAGGCAGACACCCGGACAGATCCGTGTTCCCGGACACCTACTTCAGCTACAAAGTAGATGAAGAATTCGCCACCCCTTTCAAAACAGTAGCGACCAAAGGTCTGGATTTTGACCCTTGGTCTAACAGCCGAGGGGACGATGAAGTTTTTGATGCTAAATCTCGGGAAGATGACGCTAAGCAGTTTGGTCTGGCAGTGGACGACCGCTCTCCAGCCACCACCCCTGACACAACGCCAGCCAGAACACCAACCGACGAAAGTACCCCAACTAGTGAGCCTAACCCCTTCCCGTTTCACGAAGGGAAAATGTTTGAGATGACCCGCAGTGGTGCGATTGACATGAGCAAGAGGGATTTTGTGGAAGAGAGGCTCCAATTTTTCCAGATTGGTGAGCATACCTCTGGAGGGAAGTCAGGGGACCAGGGGGAAGGGGCTAACAGTACGGTCACTGCCACCCCACAGCCACAGTCAGGGGACACCACTGTAGACACCGATCTAGAGAGAGATGTAGAGGCACCTACAGCCGAACCCAGCCCCAGCATCCCGACCAGCGGACAGTGTCAGGAAGGTACAGCCCGCAGTGGCTCTTTGGAGAAGCCAGCGGCAGCCGCTAACACCTCAAAAGTTGACCCCAAGTTGCGCACGCCTATAAAAATGGGAATTTCCGCATCCACCATGACCATGAAGAAAGAAGGCCCTGGAGAAGTGACAGATAAGGTAGAGGCTGTGGTGACCAGGTGTCAGGGCTTAGACAATGAAGTCGCGACAGTGATGTCAAGCACAGCCAATAGCCAGGTGGGCCTTAGGCCTCAAGACAAACACGATTTTCAAAAAGATAATTTTAATAACAACAATAATTTGGATCCTTCCACTTTGCAGACAGATAACATTACCAGTCATGTAGTTCTGACAGACCATGCGGCACCCACTTGTGCCACAGAGAAAGCCTCCTCAGGAAAAAAGACAGGGTTACTGCAAGGACACTGCACCAGAGATAAACAGAAAGCTCTTGGCGAGCAGCCCAAGACGGAGGAATCCGTAGGGGTTAGGCGGAAATCCAAGCTTCCCGTAAAGGCCACTTCACCAAGAGATACCTTCCCGCCAAACCATAAGCCAGAGAGTATAGCGGGTAGACTGAGGCAGGTTAGTCAGTCTGAGAGAACCAAAGCCCTCCCTCCTGTTCCATGTGTAGAGGCCAGGTCCCGAATTCCAGTCAAGAACACACACAGGGAAAACCTAGTTTCAGTCAGAAAAGCCTGTGCCACGCAAAAGCGAGGGCACCCCGAGAAAGGCAAGGCCAAACAGCCTCCATCCAAGTTGCCAGTAAAGGTAAGAGCCACCTGTGTCACCTCCACCGCCACCAGCCGCAGGAGCAGCACAGCTAAAGTTAGAGAGAGTCAGCTTAAGGAGGTATGTAAACACCCCATTGAATATTTTAAGGGAATTAGTGGTGAGACCCTAAAGCTTGTGGACCGTCTCACTGAAGACGACGGGAAGATGCAGCCGGAGTTGTCCGATGAGGAAGAAAGTCCGTCAAGAAACACGTCGTTGTCCGAGACTTCCCGGGGTGGCCAGCCTTCAGTGACCACGAAGTCTGCTAGAGATAAGAAAACAGAGGCAGCAACTTTAAAATCAAAGAGTGGAAAGGCCGGCAGTGAGAGGAGGAACAGTAGGCGGACTGGTGAGGATGAAGGCAGTCAGGTTTCTCGAGCGCCCTTTGCTCACAACTTGGAGAAACAGCATAGTTCGTAAACACTTTCCAGCTCGTAGACCCTAGTGCATGACCTGTCGTGATTGCCTGTGGCGTGACTCACCGTAGCCTCTCGTTCGGTCATCCTCATCTGTGTGTGCTGCCCCTTCCTTCTTCCTTCCCAATCCAGCTGTGCTGTAGACAGCTAGGGACGCATGCTAACGGTACTGGTGTTGTTCGGAGATGGGAACGGTTTCCTTTTGTTTCTTTAATGTGCTCACGGATACGATTCTGTCAGAGCAGAAGTGCAGATGTTCAGATTCCATCACGACACGATTCTGTGACCGTTGTGAAGTAGCAAGCTCACCAGCATGTTCAATCTCATTACATTATGAACATCCATGTAATCTGACATTTGGCCTGATGTAGATGACAGACAAGTGAGCCGTGTGAAAAGAAGTGTCCGTGTAGGTGACTAGGACACATCTCCGTGTGCAGCGTTAGTCTCTGTAAAATCTGAGTACTGCTAAAAGCAATTTTCCAGTGTCGTGTCTTTCTTGACGATTATTTTAATTGAGAAATTGTAAATCGTAGGTCCACAGAGTCCTTGTGAGCGGACAGATATCAGGATGGCAATAGTAGCCGACCACTTGGGACTTAGCTGGACAGGTAAGTGCCCATGCTCCCCAATGAAGCAAGTCCTGTTCCCAGTGTCGCGTCCCAGTACGTGTAAAGTCATTGTGCGCAAAAAATGCATATAAGCAGCAAGCCAGACATTTAAAAAAAATTTTATTATTATTTTTATTTTATGTGTATGAGTGTATTGCCTGCGTGTAGGTAAGTGCACCCGTGTCGTGCAATGCCCGCGGAGGTCAGAAGAGGCTGTCGACCCTTAATTCTGCCGGCTCAGAGGTAACTGCTGAGTGCACACACTAAAGAATAGAAATCTAGATCTATTTTAACTTAAATTTGAGGTCTCTCCACAGTGCCATTTCTGTAAGATAGTAGGAACCCTTACATCAGAATTTAACTTGGAGGGGAGTCCAGATGAGACCTACGACTCCACAGAGCAGGTGGCCTCCGCCATTCAGACCCCCCCCCCTTAGGCAAAGTTCCCTTAACCAATTTTAGTCATGCATAACTTAGCTTCACAATTTTTATGGTAGCTTTCTAACACCTATATATTTACTGAACTGACACTTTTAAGATTTGTTTAAATGGAAAACCTTATATTTGACAGCAGAGGAAAGACTTTGTGAGATCTCTGTGAGCAAGAAAACAAAGGTATGAGAGAAAGTCTCAATTTTCAGGTTTTTTAAAGTATGTAAGTAAATAAAACAGATTCAGTTCACAAAGGTAGTTGAGTTCTGTGAAACCAGGTATAATCAGGTGACAGAAAGGAGGTACATGGCTTCACTTCACATCACAAAGCCAGAGGTGTCAACGGGGAAATGGAGCTTCACAGAGTTGATCCTAACGGGGCCACTGAAATCTCGGCTCACGTGAATCGGAGAAATATAAAGTTTCCTAGGCTAAGCGTGTTTTTTAAATGCATAACGAAAAAACTTTGAACACTCCTCTGAAAAGACTAGAATAATAGAATTCATACTAGAATAAACATGTGAGGGTCTCTTTATTGTAGATCAGAACCAAGCTACTAAAAGTGTTAATTGTCACACGTAAAGTCACCTTATGACACCCATAGCAATCCATTCTCTCCTTACCATGAGCCGTTGTTTAAAGGAAAAAGTAAAACTAGGCTGTGAGAGACAAAATCTTATTTTATCTTTTGAATGCCTCAGACCCTCTTCCCAGCCCCACCAATTTACCTCCTCTCCTGGTTCCCAGGCCCTGCTGTAGATATGCTGCTAAAGGCCAGGCGCCTTGGGGAGCTCTGAAACGTCCAGTGTCTGTAGATGGAGAGGAGCAGTAATAGTGACTCGTGTGTGTAAATATTTCTACAAGGTTATCAGATTAACAGTTTTGTTTTTTAACACGGGACACTCCTGATTTTTGCAGCATTGCTATGTATGAATAGGCTTTTCCTTTGGCTCACATGATCCTTTGTTTCCCAGAGTAGATTTTTAGAGACATGTCATAAGAGGACCCAGACAAGCTGGGGACAGAACTCAGTGACCTGGCATACTCCAAGCCGTGGCTTCAGCCCCAGGACTAGAAAAGAAAAAACGGGGTAAAAAAATGAAGCCCTACAGCTCTAAAATTCTCAGGGTCATTATGGGGTTGTTCTTCCTGGAGTCTTCCAAACAATAAATAATGTTTGGTCTTGAGGATTTTTACATTTTTAAGGGCTATTATCCCTTAAAATGTAAGCTGACAAAGAAATTAAAGCTATAATTAACTTCTTTAATTAGAACCACTCTATGTTCAGTGAAGACTATTACAAAAATTATAATATTTAAGAAAACAAAATTTAAATCTCCCTTGAAACCATCATTAACGTCTTACAGTGCTTTCACTTTAAAAATAATCTTCAGCTTTGTTTGGAACTAATAGTTACAAATTGTATAGTTTTCTACAAAATGAAATACTCCCTGATCTTGGCTTTAATGGATAAATAACATAACAAATTTGTACACACGATGGTGCTTTTTTCCTAAATGTGGGTCGCAGTGGTCATGAGTCATGAAGTCAGTTCAGGCTTTTATTGTTGTTGTTAAATGGGCTACAAAAAGAAAGTGTGTGTACGTGTATTAAAGCTAAATTTTGCACCAAAAAGAGCTGGTTCGATTTACAGAAGCACTATCTTACACAATATATTTTTAACTGTTCACCATGATCACAAGAGTTTGAAAACCCAATCCAACATTAATTAGCTTCCTCCTTTTGTTCAACAAATGGACTGTTTCTATGTTTCAGACGTTTAAGTCAGCAGTGACTAGCCACTTGTGTGAATCATTTCTACATACTGCCCAGATACACTTCTAAGCATGATTCCCTTGACCAAAGGATAAGGAATTTTTGAATTTCTGAATTCATTTTACCAAGTTTTTGGAAATATTTTTTACAGCTCTAGAGTCTTGACCAAATCCTTTCCGTGGGAGCATTGCTTCCTATTTCTTACTTTATAATACTTATTTAAGGTAATCCATACTTAAGTATTTTTTGGAGAGATAAATGGTGAAAAGAAATCCCCTTCTCCCAACTCATACTGAGTTCATTTGACTTTTTCTAAATTTGACCTCTCCATTTACAGTGCTGAGTCTGTAAAGAGAATGAACGTAACGGTCACACAAAAACAAATGGCTGCATATCACATACATGATTTGTCCCAGAGTCATCATTTAACCTCCTGAGTAGAGATCATGAACTGTGAAGGCTTTCAGAGTGTGACTGCAGGATGTGCTTCAGGAAGGCTGCTCTGAGAACCCTCCCACTGTTACTGTGCGTGCTGGGGAATTGTATCCCCTTCCCCGCCTTGTGCGCAGTTCGCACAACTACAGAGAACTCTGTTGAATGCAAAGAAACAGGCAACATTCTCTCTGTGAATACTGAGAATCTTTTTAAATGATCTCTAAAAGGAAATCTGATTATAAATAATTATCTGAGGAGAGTCTAGTCACAGCCTGACCATAATCACTAGTTTCCTGTAAAATCAAGTCCATGCATAATGCCCAAGGCTACACTAGGCTTTTTTTTGTTAGGAGTTGAACATGACTTGTGAAATATATGTAGTAAAAATAAAATGTGCAATCTTAGTAACTCTCTTTCTTTTTACAGAGCTGGCAAGGGAACTGAGCTTTTCAGTGGATGAAATCAATCAAATACGTGTGGAAAATCCAAATTCTTTAATTTCTCAAAGCTTCATGTTATTAAAAAAGTGGGTTACCAGAGACGGAAAAAATGCTACAAGTATGCTTCAAATTATGTTACTTTACCTTTCAGAAGCACTCAGGGCCAATATTGCAGATAGTCCTATTGTCTGGTTCACTCAGCATTATAAATGTTCTGTAACTTTAGAAAAACAGAGCAGTTACCAGAGTTCTGAAATGACTCTTGTTTAAATTAGTGCCAATATTCTAAAGTTCTGCATTTAGGAAGGTTTTTGGAAAGCAAGTGGTAGGAAATATTTTGAATTTTGTCTGTCATTCTTCCCCTGTCTATCAAAACTGGAAAAAAAAATAATAATCCTAGCTCTTATACCATGGGATAGTCATTAGAAATGCTTTGAAGTTACTGCTGGGGCCAGAGGTAGAGCCTGAGAGAAACAAACACAGAGAGGAGGGCGGAGGTCGGGATCGAGTTCTCTGAAACAAACAGAGAGGAGGGCGGAGGGAGTTCTCTGAGCCGCAGCCGCCAGTTGCTTACAGCTCTGTCTGGGGCAGTAGAAACTTCTCTGCTGTTGTTGGATTTGGGTAGGCAGTAAGTGGTGAAGTAGTCAGGTTGGACTGCACTTTGGCAAGCACTTACCCACCACATGTGGAAATAAGTAATTGCCGGTTTGCCTGGGTCAGCCTGACCTTGGTAATTCATTCAGATGTCCAGCATGGAATAGGAACATGGACTTCTTTGAAAGAAGGAACTTGAACCTGCATCAGACCCCTTGTAACCTAAAGGAGTGCAGGTGTTCTACGGCTGCCTGTTCTGTTACGGTGGAAGGAAGGTGCTGCCTCCACACAGCTTTAAGCAGATTCTCCCCTGGAGCGGCCAGCGTTTTGGGAGATGGCTCCGGCCGAGCTGGAATAAGACGGGCTGAGTACCACCAGGGCTGCAGAAACCATGTCTGTGTTGGGTTTTGGTGCTGACTTAAGGACGCAATGTCACTGGATTCTCAACCTTTTTCTTTTTTCTTTTTCAGCTGATGCCTTAACTTCGGTTTTGACAAAAATTAATCGAATAGACATAGTGACTCTGCTAGAAGGACCAATATTTGATTACGGGAATATTTCAGGCACCAGAAGTTTTGCAGATGAAAACAGTGTTTTCCATGACCCAGTTGATGGTAATTGAATTCAGTGTTCATATTTATTTAGTCGTTTGATAAAATTTGAAAGTGTGGTCAGACAGGTGGTCACTCAACACCAAGTGCTGTTTGCTCTGACTTAACTTCTCATTTTCACAGCGTAATTTTCTCTGCCAGGGTCTGCAAACAAGCACTCAGTGTCAGAGCGAACTTGGGTAAATGTCTCTGCTAGACCCAATGCAGAGAATGAGATGCGAAAACATGTCTGAAAGTCGCTGTTTCTAATACTTGGTGCCCCAATGCAAGAAAATTTAATACCTAGAAAGTACAGTTAAAATTCTTTTAACCTAAAAACTAATGATCTTTGATTTCACTTATGCATGAATAAAATTATGAGCTTAGTTTTACCAAGTAAGAGTACTGAGTCAAGTGTGGCCGTATATGTACAAATTGTCAAGGTGAACTGGTGAATTACTGTTCAGGGACCAAGTATTCAGGCAAGCAATGGGGTAGTCTAAATGTATTATTTAAAGTGTTTTCATTATTCAGAATCATATTAACTTTAAAATCTGCCATTTATTCTATGGGGGAAAAACCCTATTGGATCTGTTGTACATAAAAGGCAGTTTTTCCTACTTCAGTGAGCATCAGCATCCCTGATAATCTTGTACATTAGCTTAACTTTTTATTTAACATTGTCACCTTCACAATGTATCTTCATTGATACATTGATCCATCTTCAATGATACTTCATCAAAGTATCAAGAAAAGCATAACAAAACAACTTACCGTGCTTTTCATGTCAGTCCTGTCTAACATTCACAAGTGGGAATCCAGTCCCATGGTGATTATTGAGTAGAAAATAATGATGTGGAGTCAAGAGGAGCCAGAGATACTTTTCTGTAGTAAATACTTTTTTGTATTCAAAAAATAGGGTGATTTTCTTTTTCTACTTTTAACTGGCAAAGTTTGAATAACAAAAGTCAGAAACTTACAAATTCCTAGAAAGCTTCTATTGGCTAAAGGCAAACTATCTGTTAGCCACATAACACCGATACCATGGGACCTTGGAAAAAGTGGTTTATGTTGGTAACCAGACTCCTTTTATACTAGGTAAATATAGTGGCAGATAATGAATTATTGACAGTTTATAGATTTTTCTCATACTTGTGGGAAAGTAAGAAGAAAGAAAATAAACACTACCACAAGCAATACCAGCCTCGTGTTCTTGGAAGGTTTGTTTGGTTTCAACATTTTAAAATTAAGTCATTCAAATAAGTTCATGTGCCTTTTTTGTTGCTAACTATTAAGTTTTCTGAGGGAAACTTAAGCATGAAATACATTTTACTTAAGTGCAGACCATGAGCCTTACCTTACCCTAGCCAAACGTTTAACAAGAGCTTCATTTATAGGTAGCCATAACTGAAAAATGTCCACTGACCTATAGCACTTTGAATTTGCAACAACAGCTAAGCTGATATTTACCCTGAACTGGTGGCCGGGGGGGGGGGGGGGGCGGGGGACGGACTAGTCTTTGGTTTTGTGGACCAATAAATTGAGGAAATGAGCACGGTTGCTTTTCTTTCCCCTGTCTCTCCTCGTTGCTGAACTTTTGGGAAACTGCCTTTCCTCACCATGACCAGACCGCTACTGACTTTTCTCACTGCTAAGGCAGAAAATTACTGCATAGTCTGTGCAGACTGTTTTAGGTAGGGGTTGGCTCCTCCTTTCTGGGTCAGATGCACGGCAGTCCTGCATCCTCAGAGTGTGCTTCCCTCACGGTCCTCTTCCTGTCTCTACTGCGTACCATTTCTTTCTCTGTATTTGGTTCATGGTTCTAAGCAGACCCATCACCAGCTTCACCAAGACCTCCATATACACCACAGCTCTTCCCTCTCTGTCGCATTACAGTCCCTGAAATGTGTGGAGTGTCTATTTTTTTTTAATATTTTATTCATCATCATTATTATTTTATGTGTATGTGTGTATTGCCTGCATGTAGGTGAGCGCACCGGTGTCGTGCAATGCCTGCAGAGGACAGAAGAGGCCATCGGATCCCCTAGAACTGGAGTTACAGACAGTTGTTAGCTGCCATGTGGGTGCTGGGATTTGAACCCGGGTCTTCTGCAAGAACAGTGTTCTTAACCACTGAGCCATCTCTCCAGCCCCCTCTTCTGTTTTTTTAAATCCTGCTCCTAACACCCTTTCAAAAAGTTTGACCCAGTGCCACCACTCTAAAACCTAATCTTAATCACGTCTTTCCAGACAGTAAATCCATTTCTTTTTCCCCATAAATTTCCTGTAAAGCAATTAAGAATTAGAATTGGATTGTGTTGCTCATATGTAAAGCTTTTAAAATAAGCAAGAGGTCATTAATTATGGAATTGCTGTATTTGGTCTACCACAGTATTTTGTATGCTAAAACAATCAAGACCACTTGGCCATTAAGATGCAGATCTTCTGTGTGCAATGACAGCTAACTTTATAGTGCGTTAAATTCATTTGCATAGTCATATTACTGTATTAAAATCACTGAAATCGATAGACATACCGATATTTTACTTCATGTTCTATTTTATGTTTGCACTAGACTCTTCGTGTAACTGAACTAAACCGTTACACTGTGAGCATTATTCTGTAATCCTTCATGCATTTTCATACCTGATATGATTTGCGTCATTCCACGTGTTTGTCTTTGATGTGTTCTGGCTCATTCCGTCCAAATGTACTGTCTTCCATAGGTTACTCTTCCCTTCAAGTGGAGCTGGAAACCCCCACGGGGTTGCACTACACACCACCCACCCCTTTCCAGCAAGATGACCATTTTAGTGATATCTCTAGCATAGAGTCTCCCTTTAGAACCCCCAGTAGACTGAGTGATGGGCTAGTGCCTTCCCAGGGAAACGTAGAGCATTCAGCAGATGGACCTCCCGTGGTAACTGCAGAAGACACGTCCCTAGAAGACAGCAAACTTGAAGACTCAGTGCCTTTATCAGAAATGCCCGACACACTGGATATAGATGCGAGCCAGTTGGAGGATGTGTGCCTGAGTGAGTATCCACAGTACCTCGGAAGTTTGCCTGGGTTCCCAAAAGATTGTAAACCAGCAGAGCCATGGAAACACCAGACTAGAAAAGTAGGTGTAAGCTTTGAGCTGCAGGAGAAAGAAAATCTGGTCCTGATGAGGAGGTCCTGGAAGAAAAGCTCAAATCTCTGAGGACATTCCACCTGAAGGAGTAGTCTGAGGAGATGATGGCAGGAGAAAAGGTGTGGGCTATTCTTAAGATGTTCAGCAAGCAGAACTGCGAATGTCTTCACTTACAGGTTGGCAGAATGAGACATCAAGTGGAAACCTAGAGTCCCTGGCTCAAGCTCGAAGAGTAACTGGTGGATTACTAGACCGCCCAGATGACAGGTACGGCTGGGTCTCAGGAGAAGGACAGGCCTCCTTTTGCAGCAATTCCTTTTCTAAATGACCAGGTCTTGGGGGCGGGGATATACCTGCCTTAAAGATTGATTCAGTACACGGATCCAGAGAGGAAAAGCGATTTTAAATTGAGATAAAATTCTCTACGTGTTTGCCAAAGATGTAGATGTTGTCTTTGAAATTCAACTGGCTAGGGTCTTATATTAGACTTTCCAAAAATTAATTAGTCATTTAAAGTCATTTCAAAAATGAAAGCCCAGATCTTGTACAAATACCATTCCTCTGTTTCACAACTACAAACATAAATGTACTTATTACACAAGATTTTAAAATAAAGATTCAAGAAAAATCAGTATAACCACACCATTTAGCAAGAACCATGTGAAAATTTTCATGGAAGTCTGGCGGTGTGGTTTAGCACTAGTTTGTATGTGGAGCCAAATGCGCAAGGCCTGGGTTTAATCCCCAGCACACGAAAAGAACGGAGCAGGTGTAGATCTCTCTTCTGTGTACATTTAAGACTGTCTTCATGTAGGAGTCAGAGAAGGAACAGGAAAGCGGCATCTATCTTCCTGTCACTAAGAACAACATTTTCTATTCCTCCTTTGTCTTAGTACAATCCTCTACAATGAAAACAGACATCAATTTATAACTACAGGAATTCTATAGGCATGAATTTGGCCCTGCTCCAGAGAGTAAGTCTAGAGCCCCCAGACGTTGGGTCCCATCGCACCACTGTAGACACTTTGTGACTTTGGGTGAATGTCTAAGAAGTTCACTTTACTCATCTTTATAATCCTCCCCCCTTCAAACAGGCTTATAGATCAAAAAAGAAATGTTATACCTAACAAATGTGTGGGGTAAACAGTAATCTCTGAGTAACATGCATTTTATTTTCATTCCCTCACACATCAGACTAAAATATATTCTACTTCAATGGTGACTGGCAATGAACTTAGATTGAATATTATTTCCTAACCATATAGAATATTTTCATCTTGCTGATAAAACTGTTGTGCAGTAAAAATTTCCAAGGAGACTTGGGAGAGATTATGAAACTTCTTTTGAAAAATTAGGTCATCAGGGCTGGAATGGATGGCTCCGTGGTTAAGGGCACTGGCCGCTCTGGCAGCGGACCTGGGTTCGGTTCTCAGCATCCACATGGTGGCTAAAAACCATTTGGAACTCCAGTTCCAAAGGAATCTAACGGCCTCTTCTGACCTCTGAGGGCATTGCGCTTAAACACATGCAGGCAGTACACTCATACACACAAAATAAAAATACTAAATAAAATATTTTTTTAAAAAAAGAAAAATGAAGTCATCAATGAATTGCGTGTATACTCTGCCTACTACTAGCCAAAAGCACTAATGTTGATGTCCATGATCAGATGCAGCTACATCGCTTGTTGCATCTCAGGAAGGAGACCCCCATGTAGCGAACTTGCTCATGACTATTAAACTGGCTGAAATCTCTTGTTTAATGTAGGCTCTGTCCTTAAGCTATAACATAAATAGACTGAGTCTTGCTATCCCTGACACCTACAGTGACTGCTCCTGGTGTGAGTATCTGGTAGAAAGGGAAACAGAGAAGCAGTGTGGAGTAGGAAAATTAAGTTAAGCAGAAGTCGCAGGGTATACACCCTCTGTTACACAATCTTCATAGAAGCTAAGATTGTCTTTGCACATACAGAATACACACATACATTTATATATTTCCTTTTTTGTTTGTTTTTTGAGACAGGGCCTCCTGTAGGCCCAGCTGGCCTGGAATTTACTGTGTAGACCAGACTGGCCTTAATCTCACAGAGATCTGCCTGTCTCTGCCTCCCAAGTGCTGGGATTCAAGGTGTGCACCACCACGCCTGGCATACTTACATATTATACACATAAAATAATACACTAATTGCTGCCTTTTACAGGCAGTAAGCAAAAACACTAAAAACTATCTGCAAACTACAAAACAAAATGAGTAGTGTGTACTAAAACCAATAAAAAATAAAAGTCTCTCTGGGGCTGGAGAGATGGCTCACAGGTAAGAGCACTGATTGATCTTACAGAGGACACAGGTTCGAAACCCAGCACCCACGTGGCAGCTAACAACTGTCCATAACTCCAGTTCCAGGGGATCTGACACACTCCTCTGACCTCCGCAGGCATTGCAGGATATGGGTGCACTCACATATATGCAGACAGTACACTCATACGCATAAAAAAATTAAAATAATAAAATTTAAGTCAATATATCAAGAGAGTATTGAAAAGAAAGGTTTTCCATAGTTAAGGACAGCAGTCCCCACCATGCAGCAGTAGTACTGGTCAGGAGTGGAGGAAGGAGGGTCAGTAATGGTGTTCCGGCTGGGAAAGCTTGTTCCTAAATGTAAATACACAAAGTGAAAACTTGGGATTGCTGAGGACACAGTTTGAGGTTAGCAGTTCTTAGTTGATTTTTGTCAGGAGGTGTTTTGGAGGTTTCTGTTTTTCGTTCCTGATATAAAAAGGAAACTTTGCACTATCCGTCCCTTGTAGATGGGTGGGGTCGGAGCTCGAAGTAGGTCCACCCTCATTTACAAGCTGTGAACTGTAGCTATAGAAAAGCACTTAAAGGTGGCAGCAAACATAGCAGGTGCCTCGCTCCCTCCCCCATGAGGGGCCGCACATTTTCAGTCCGCTCACTATTTTTCACACCTGTTTTATACCTTCAGAAGTAGTTAGCAGCCTGGGTTTGAAGTTGGAACCTCCAAAGCCATCTTCAGCCACAAGTTGCCATGCCTGCCCATAAGTTTGCATATTCTGTCCTTTGCAGCCCTGACCAGGGAGGGGACTCTGTTACCTCGTACCTCCGAGGAGAGCTGGGGAAATTCGAAGCAAACGGAAGCCACGTAGAAGTGAGTCCAGGAGCGATGACCAAGCCCTGCTGCCCAGAGTCCCAGAATGACCGCGGGAAACCGAGCGCCAAGGAGAACATGAAACCAAACACGCACCCGTCGGGCCGCGCCGAGGAGGCGCCACACCTCGCAGCCCATCAGAAACCTCCAGAAGAAACCAGCAAGCTTGTGCTAGAAGAGCCCAAACCCTGTGTGCCTGTGAGCATAAAAAAGACGAGCAGGACTTCTGCCGAGGGCAAGCCCAAGCTCAGCCTCCATGAAGAAGAGGGATCCAGCGGCTCCGACGCAAAGGTAGGTCGTGCGCAGCTCACAGCTCCCCAGCTGCAAATACCAAGTCCCCTGCGCTGCGCAGCTCAGACTTGAGATCCCACACTCTTTCTAAACAGACTGAAGGGCGCGGCTGGTAAAGAGCACCAGGGAAAACGCAGACCACTGCTTCTACCTTCATTCGCCAAGTGGGGAAAAAAATAAACCCATTAGCCATTCCCAAAAAAAAGAAATCCAGAGGCCAGGTGTGGTGGTGCACACCTTTAATCCCAGTGCCCGGGAGACAGAGGCTGGTGGATGTCTTTGAGTCTGAGGCCAGCCTGGTCTGTACGGTGAGACCCTGTGTAAGGAGGGGAGGAAAGGAGGAAGGGAGGAAGGAAGGATGGAAGGAAAATAGGAGGACTAGGTGACTAGCTTCAGGACCAGAGCTGATTCTGCCTAGGATTTAGGTTCTCTGACTCCAAACCCAGTCTTCTTAGGGGAGGAGGAGGTAATTTCTACCCTTTCTGGGTCTTTGACATAATTTAAAGAGTCTATAGTATCTGACTAATTTATGCATACGAGTCTATAAGGTCTACTGTCTCAAAAAGTTTTAGAAATTGAAAAGATAGACCTACCAAGCTTAATCAAGGTGAGTTGGTGGCAGGCAGAAATTTATAGTTATAAGTATTATATATCAGTTGATCATTAACATTTAGAGCTTTACTGGGGTAGAATCACCGGATTCCTCTTTAGACTGGCATATTCTTGTACTACTGACACGGTCTCCTATTCTTTGTGGTTTACCATTTTTAGTAATTAAAGTATTTTAAACTGGAATTCTCTCTCCTGGGTGCGAGAAAATGAAACTGAGTTATATTCCCGATAGTGTTTTTGCTGCTGTTATCTGTACCTGTGATTAGCAGTAGACACAGGATGGGAACCCCCTGCCTTTTGATGTGAACTCTTACCACCTTCCCTGAGACATGCATAGCTCTTGGAGAAGAAGAAGCAGTGTTTTATAAAACAATGAAGTTAATTTACAAAAACTCCCAGACAGCCAGAACTGAATCCCAGTCACTCAATACATGTTCTTCCTGCCCTGTGCACACTATCTTTGGGTCATTTTCCTGATTCTTAAAGGGAAAGTTAAAGGAAATGAGATGTTAATACACCTGTGATTGAGGAGTGTGGATTGTTTCTCCTTTTAATACTTGTTTTGATATGAAACTTGAAGGCAGTTATTAAATGATCTAGAGATTGTTTTGGGGTATCGTGCATGCAAACAGTGATCACCATTGAAATGATTCTTTTTCTGGTTGTCTTTTAAGCACTTGTGAGTATTTCTCAGGTTTTTAACTTCACTCTTGGCAAGTGTCACTTTCACTGTTGGTTTCTGACTCTGACTTGCCTCGTAGTATATTTAAGCAGGATGAGTTTGGGTGGATTGTTTCCTTTTAAGAAGCTGTGTAGCTCTCAGTATGTTCCCTTTTAAGACAAATTCCCAAGATACAGGGGAAGCAACAGCACTGTGATTTTTTTTAATATTTTATTTTTTATTTTATGTGTATGAGTGTTATGCCTGCATGCAGGTAAGTGCACCTGTGTCGTGCAATGCCCACAGAGGACAGAAGAGGCTGTCGGATCCCCTGGAACTGGAGTTACGGACAGTTGTTAGCTGCCACGTGGGTGCTGGGATTCGAACTTGGGTCTTCTGCAAGAACAGTTAGTGCTCTTAACCGCTGAGCCATCTCTCCAGCCCCAGTGCTGTGATATTTTTACCTAGGAAGATGCACCCTCCAAATAGCCTATTAGAAATCATCGTAGAAGTTCTGAAAGCAGTTACCATACAGCGTGTTCACAGTTACATACTGCTGTGTTTAGAGGAGTGCATGTCTGTGGGTCGCTGGGGAGCCTCGCTGATGGAAACATGAAGAGATTGGAAGTGATGACCTTAAGCTTGAGCAAACATTCAGCTGGGTTTGTTCGTAACAGAAAATGACTTATTAGCGCTTTCAAGATTTCATTACAGTGAGTCCTATTTCAATGCATAGACTACCTGACCATAAAATCCATGTGGGAGACATGAGTCTGACCTCACAGGAAATCCCAGGGTGTGAAGGTCCTATCTTCTGTGGCCGTGCCCAGTACAGTAGCAACCAACTAGGCCATCTGATGTCTGTCTCAGAAAACAGACCCCTTTTTGTCCCCTGAAAAATCAGGTCAAAAGTCCGGGTACAGCTCTTACGAGGATGACTGCCTGCTGTTACAAGGTAAATCCTGCTCTTTCCTCCTGTCGTGACGCAAACCGTGTGCAGAAATGCTGGGAAACTGTAGTGTGTTCTCCTGAAGCTTGGCCCGCCCCGGTTCCTACAGAATTCTCTGAAGGAACCCTGAGTTTCTCCCCTGCTTTTCCTCCCTTCTCCTAAGGCTGGCAGCGGCTCCAGCCAGAAAACAGAAACTGAAAAAAATCAGTGGGCTGGCCACTTCCTTTACGTGGGCAGCCCAGGGCTTCTTGCTGGGGTCATCTGGCTGCCTGATATGTAGACTCATTAGTGTTTGCATTAACACGAGTCCTTGTGCCTCTTCCTGGCTTTCCCCCGGTTAGGATTCCTTTCTGCCTCCTCTAACCCTAGAATCCTCATGAGTAATTCCATCCCTTCATGAATATGAATTCCTCTTACTTTTTGTACTCCACTCTGGAGGCTCTCCTTTCAAAATATGTTATTTAAATCATTTTTAAGCCCCCCATATTTGCTGTCCTTTTGTGAACTTTTAAACATATAGTAGGGGATGTAGTTTTGCTTTCTGTGTCTTGCAGAGACAGCTGCTGCTGCTTTTCAAACTGTTTTATTCAATGGAACATCACATAAAGTCAAGGTTAATACTATTCTTAACATTTTAACTACTTGGACTGGAGAGAAGGCTCAGCAGTTAAGAGCACTGGCTTCTCTGACAGAGGACCCAGGTTCAATTCCCAGCACTCACATGGCAGCTAACGTCCATCCGTAACTCCAGTTCCAGGGGATCCAATATCCTCTTCTGATCTCCTCGGACACTGCACAACACAGGTGCACTTATACACATGCAGGCAATACACTCATACACATAAAATAAAAATTATTAATAAAATTTTTTTTGGTCTTTTTTGAGACAGGGTCTCCCTGTATCCCCAGCTGGCCTGGACCTCGCTATGTAGACCAGGCTGGCCTTGAACTCACAGAGATCCACCTGCCTCTGCCTCCAGAGTGCTGGGATTAAAGGTGCGTGCCCAGCAAATAAAATATTTTTTAAAAAGATTTTAACTACTTGCCATGTTGATTTTTGGTGAAAAATATGTCCTAATGTATGACCAATTCAACTAATGGTTCATAAACTATTGTATCTAATGCCTGTAACCCCATTTTTTAAAGTATTTTAACAAATATAACCATTCTAGGGCTGGAGCTCACAACCAAAAAGACAAATACAACCATTCCTTTTTTCTAATACTACTAACTAACAGCTCCTAGCTCCCGGATGATTAGATTAGAGGAGATTAGCGGCCATTTGCGTAATTCTGCCATTGACATTTAGAAATGTCACCATGAAGAGCATTTACTGAATAATTAAGTAGAAGCTGAAGATGTTTTCCCTTCCGAATTATAAACTAGATCCCAGGATAGTTTTTCCTGCTTTCTACATTAATTGTGCAATTACTACAATCATGTTTATACCCCCCCACCCCACGAGATTGAATTTACTGTCTTGACCATGTTAGGTACGTGTTCTACCATTGAACTATATCCCCAACAACCCTCTTTTTTTCTAAAGGCTTGGCAGTGTTCATTCTCTCATATTGTAATGCCATACAAGGTCTTTACAAGAGATCACAAGGTTCCACATGTCTGACATTATTTCCTCGTTTGCTGGATTAAACTCTGAGTACAGCTGTGTTGATAATAACTTGAAGCAAATATATGTGCTGATGTAAAATTTCAAAACAGCTTTTCATAAAAATATCAAATTTAACCAAAATTCCATAAAAATTGCACATTGGCCTCTTTCTGTAGATAAATGAAATGCAGACCAAAGTACAAGACTAGACTCAAGTCAGATGAATACAGATTTTAAAATATTTTATTATTTATATTTTATAGCTGGGTGTGGTGGCACATGCCTTTAATCCCAGCACTCCAGAGGCAGA